TTTTTTTTTTTTTTTTTTTTTTTTTTTTTTTTTGTTAGGAGAGAGGTTTGGCGGTGTCTCCGTTGTCTCCTCCTTCTTTTTTTTGTGCATGCATTGCTGCTATTCGTTTAGTTAGTAATTTTCACTCAAAAGTAAGTTTTTACTTTTTATTTATTCTATTTATTTTATTTTTTTTGTTTTTTTTTTGTTTATTTTATTTATTTTATTTTTTTTTGTTTTATTTGTTTTATTTGTTTGTTTATTTTATTTATTTTATTTTTTTTTGTTTTATTTGTTTGTTTATTTTATTTGTTTATTTTATTTATTTATTTATTTTATTTAATTATTTATTTTATTTATTTATTTATTTTATTTGTTTTTTATTTTATTTATTTGTCTATTTTATTTGTTTATTTATCTTATTTATTTTTTTAATTTACTTTTATTTTTATTTTTTTTTATTTACTTTTATATATATTTATTTTATTTATTTTTATTTGTTTTATCTATTTTTATTAATTTTTATTTATTCTGTTTTTATTTACTTTACTTATGTCATTTATTTTTATTTATTTTTATTTATTTTTTTTATTTTCCTGTTTTTGTTTGTTTTTTTTTTGTTTGTTTATTATTTATTTTATTTATTTATTTATTAGTCTATGTATTTTTAGTTATTTTATTTATTGTATTTATTTTATTTATTTTATTTATTTGATTTGTCTTTATTTATTTTATTTATTTTATTTTTATACTTATTTTATTTTTTTTCTCGTCTTATGCATTTGTTTTATATATTTAATTTATTTGTTTTAATTTTTTTGGTTTCATTTTATTTATTTATTTATTTATTATCGTTTGTTTTTTATTTTTTTTGTTTTTTTATTTATTTTTATTTATTTTGTTTCTTTTATATAACTTTATTTGCCCGTGTTTGTTTTTATTTTTTTTATGTTATTTCCGTTTATTTTTTTTTATTTATTTTTATTTATTTTTCTTTTTATCTCTTTGCTTGCTGTCTCATATCATCCCTTACCTTTATATAA